TCGAAGGAGGCATGAAGGAGACCATAGTCCAATAGAAGCAAGGGAAATCGAAGAAGGCTTGCAGGAGACCAAAATCCAATCCAAGCCTTGCGAATCAAAGGAAACTTATTTTTTCTCCAATTTTGTCAAAAGATTATTTTTATCTACTTTGCCCCCTTTTTTAACAGTTTCCTCTTTAACTTGATGCTGGAAAATCCAATTGTACTTGTGCAAGCTTGAATTTTGAGAATCCTTGTGAGAAATGCCTTGAGAAATGAGAGGGAAAATTTTAGGGTACAACTGAGTGTTACTTCTAAGTAATACTTCTAATTAAGTTAAGAAAACAGAAACTCTAAAGCATAAGAAAAAGTAAAGAACACGTGATATATCCTGGTTCACTTGAGAAACCCCCAAGCTAATCCAGTCCACCCTTCCAAGGTGATTCTGCCTTGAACTCAAGGACTTAATCCATTATAACCAAATTGATTACAGTTGCAGAGGCAACTGCTGGCGACTAACATCCAATGACACGTTCAATGATCCAAACTGGATATAACGTTCATTGACCCAACAGAATCTGATTCTTCAGAATCTCCCATTAGGATTTCCTTCTAATGATATCCATTAGTGATCTCAGAAGGTTGACCTTCACTCAGTCCCCTTTGAGATATGACTACCATTGACCCAATAAAATCCACTACCAGGATTTCATCTATGATGACCACAACCAAAGTCTTCTCAATTCTTCTGATCTTCACTCGATCACTTGAGGAACCAAACAATTCTAAATAGAATTTTTTTTCTGGAGATTACATGAGTGATTCTTATCAAGAAGATTACTCCTAATTTAAGTACATATTATTTGACACAATTCTGAGCAACAACTCTTGTGTACAAACAATTTACATGAAGATCTTAAGCAATAACACAATCTGAGCAACAACTCTTGTGTTTTACATCTTTCTACAAAGATGAATATAATCTAAGTTAAGTGCAACATCTTGTAGTCTTCTTGTTTTCATCTTCATAGTTGAGCAAGCTATGAGCAACAACTCATTGCTTCTTCATAATTCTGTCAAGATGTATATGATTTGATAGTTTGAATGACATCTTGCAGAATTCTTCATCTTCATCTTCTTTCTTTGTTAAGAAATATATGAGAAATAACTCATTGCTTTTTCATAATTATGCCAAGATGTATATAATTGATAGTTTGAATAACACCTAGTAGAATTCTTCATCTTCATCTTATTTGATTAGCTTCAACATGTTCAGCATAATTGTTGTTCTTGTAGTTGTTATAGTGGTTGATAACATTTTTGGTTGTGTTCCAATAATGGAAACTTTTATTTTAGCATTGAACACCAACAACAACGTCACTTGCAACACATGATTATTTTCTTATATAGCCAAGAAAAATAGAGTCGTTATCTATTTGAAAAAAAGTCATTACAAATAGTATTGCTACGTCATCTTATCTTCCACAATTCAAGTTAGTGGAGAGGTAGTGGAATAAGACTTTTTTGTACTGTGTATTATTGTACCATGTTATCGTTATCTTCTTTCCTTCTGCGAGCATGATTTTAGAAGCGGGAACATAACATCAGGTATTCAGAACTTCAAGTCTTCAGAGTCTTCAACACTTGGTCATGAGAACCTTGTTGTAGAGAACTTGTGATCAGAAGAGCTTTAAGTCTTCAGAGTCTTAAGAGCTATGTCTTTAGAGTATTCAACACTTGGTCTTGAGAACCTTGTTGTAGATAACCTTGAACCTTTAGAACTTTAAGTCTTTTGAATCTTCAGACCTTCCATCTTTAGAATCTTTAGCAATTGGTTCTTTAAAAATCATTTTGAGAACCTTTTTATTAGAAGCACAAAATCTTCAGCATGTGTATTTCAGTAGAAACACTGTCTTCAGATCTTTTAACTTTGTCTTCTTTGAAACAAGTTATCTTTTAGAAACTAAGTTTTTAGCATCTAGACTTCAGTAGAAACTTTGTCTTCAGATTTTCTAACTTTGTTTCTTTTGAGCACACTGTCTTTAGAACCTTGAGTCTTTAGCATTTGGACTTTATTAGATACTTGAGCCTTCATATCTTTTGTCTGTTTCCTTAGAACATGTTGTCATTAGAAGCTTGAGTCTTCAACATCTGGACTTAAGTAACAACTTATGTCTTCAGATCTTCTGTCTAGTTTCTTTAGACAAACATCATATCTTGCACTTTAAAGCCTTCTGGAGTGTCTTGCTACTGTTCAACAGAACTTGTGTAGCGTAGAAGCAGAATTAGTTATCTTCTAATGTCTTGGCCACGCTATCCATCAGAAGCAGAACATATTTGTTAAGTATTAAACAATAAAAAACATTAGAGTATCAAAATTTTTCATACAAACATACTCATTTGTTATCATCAAAACTCAGAGATAATGTTGCCGAACCAAATCTTGTTCTTACAGATACTACCAATATCGAAGATACTGACATCCTTCTTATCCCCATGGCTACCCAACAACCTACTGTGACTGTTGATCCTCTGCCTCCCTATTATCCCTCTTGTGATCGTAAGTCTACTCAATTGCCTAATTTTGTCTATTCCACTTACTCTTATTCTTTTGCTTCTTTTCTAACCTCTATACATAGTTTATCTGAGCCATCTTCCTATAAAGAGGCTATTCTTGACCCTCTTTGGCAGCAGGCTATGAAATAAGAACTTCCTTCTTTGCACAAAATAGATACTTGAGAATTAATACCTCTTCCTCCTGGAAAACATGGTATTGGGTCTCGTTGGATATACAAGATCAAAACAAAGTCTGATGGGTCAGTTAAGCGCTATAAAGCTCGCCTTGTTGCTAAGAGTTTCTCTCAACAATATGGTATAGATTATGAAGAAACTTTTGCTCCTGTTTCTAAGATGATTACTATTCACACCCTTATTGTAGTTGCATCTATTTGTCAGTGGCATATCTCTCAAATGGATGTTAAAAATGATTTCTAAAAGACACTATATGGTCTGAAACAAGCTCCACGAGCTTGGTTTGAGAAGTTTACCACTGTGATTACATCTATTGGCTTTCGCTCTAGTGATCATGATTCTGATTTGTTTGTCAAGACCACTTATCATGGTCATATTTTACTCTCATTATACGTTGATGATATGATTAGTACAAGTGATGATATCGATGGAATTAATGATTTGAAATTACAGTTAGTCAAACAGTTTGAGATGAAGGACTTAGGCACTCTTCACTACTTCTTGGGCATTGAAGTTGCCTAATCTCCTAGAGGCTATCTTCTCTTACAATCCAAGTATATTACCAACATTCTTGAACAAACTCGACTTTCTGATAATAGAGTAGCAGATAATCCTCTTGAGTTGAATGTGAAATATGCTCCATTTAATGGTGTTCCTCTGCCAGATCTCACTGTATATCGTACTTTAGTTGGCAACCTGGTATACCTTACAATTCCTAGACCAGATATTGCTTATGTTGTTCATGTTGTTAGTCAGTTTGTTGTCTCTCCTACTACAGTGTATTGGGCAGTTATTCTTCGCATATGTCGTTATCTTTGGGGAACCCAGTTTCAGAGCCTCCTCTTTCCCTCATCATCCTCATTGGAACTTCGTGCTTATTCTAATGCAGATTGGGCTGGCGACCCCACATGTCGTATGTCTACCACAAGGTTTTGTGTCTTTCTTGGAGATTCTCTTATTTCTTGGAAGAGTAAGAAATAAGATATTGCTTCTCGTTCTTCTACGGAAGTTGAGTACCGTGCTATGGAATCCACCACTACTGAAATAGTTTGGTTGCGTTGGTTACTTTCTGATATGGGTGTCATTCTTTTTGAACCAACTCATATGTATTGTGATAACAAAATTGCCACTCAAATTGCCGACAACTCGATTTTTCATGAGCGTACCAAATACATTGAGATTGATTGTCACTTCACTCGTCATCATTCTTCAGCATGGGACAATTACTCTACCGTTTATCTCTTCCATTTTGCAGATTGCTGATTTGTTTACGAAGACGCATTCCATTAAACATTTGTGTTTTTTGATTGACAAACTCTCGATGCTCTCTGCTATTGCATCTCGAGTTTGAGGGGAGATGTGAGTTATTATTATTATATTAATTTATTATATATTTGTAAGGGTAGTTAGGTCTTTCTTAGCATTTAGTATTTATACTTTGGTGTAACCCTTACTCTTTTAGTTTTTGCTCATTCTATTGAAACTTTAATTTAGAGAGTCTTTCTCCATCTTTATGTTTCTATTTGTTTTCTATTGTTAATAGACTCGGTTATATTCTCTAGAACATTGATTCAATATTTTAGAGGAATGTCTTCAATTAGAATCCATGAATTATAAGTACATGAAAGGTAGGAAAATTTAGAATATGAAACATACAAATTACCTCAGCACCAACAAAATTTTGGGCCAACGGTGTCCAGGGTGGTCGGGCCTTAGAACTGCCCATACTTTTGAATTCTTTTTCTTTTTCTTTTCATTCAAATAAGTAATTTCACATATATTTTTAATTTGATTCAAATTTTAAAAAATTATTTTAAAGAACATTTTATTTCAAAGAATATTATTTATTCGTGAATTCTCTATTTTTATTGTCAGATATAAAAGATGGAAATAAAATATTCTCATAAAAATAAATTCAATCAACCATACTTTTCTACATCACTTCTATTTCTATTATTTTTTATAATTTAAAATAAAACAAATTTTATAATTATTCCTAAAAATTTAAATTTCTACCAATCACATGAATTAATAATATCATTGAGAGGAATAAAATTTTGAACCATAAAAGAAACACTTAGTTGGTATCTAAAAACATCTACTACTTATTTACTTTTTTGAGAAGAAACAAAACTACCCTTCTCTTGACATGGTTAAGTTAATTTTCTCTCCAAACGAAGATGAATTCATAGAATTGAATCTAAGTAAGCACGCGGTGTATTAATCGATCCACTTCTGAACGAAGCGTTTGAATCATCATCATCACACACAATGGTGAAGCTTCATCCCTTGAGCCAAATCAACCACTCTCAAAAAACCGCTTTTCTCGGCGTTTTCCTCTCCGTCTTGCCATTTCTCTTTCCCAATCTCTTGCAACCTCTCGCTCGTGCTTCCCCTTCCATGTTCTCCGTAAGTTCTCATTTCACACATTTTGTTTTCATTCCATTTCCTCAATGAATCCTGAGAAATTCATAATAACAGCAAAAAAATGATTTATTTTTTATTTTTTATGAAAACCTAATTATTGGAACCAAAATTGATTATGAAAATCGCAGGAATGGATTGCTCCTAAACCTAGGCACGTGACATTGCTACAGGGTGCTCTGCAACACGAAACTGTTAGTACACTATATCACACATTCATTCATTTTATGCTCTTTGTGTTCATGAATGTTTTTTGAGTTTATCATTTAATGTTACTTTTTTTTGTTACTCTTTTCAGTCTCTTCAAGTACAAGCTAATGTCTGGGCTCCTCTGGCTTTCCAAGGATGGCAACCTTGTACCGTACATCCAAAATCACCTTGTGGGTTCAATTCATAGATTGGGTTTTTTTTTATATTCAAATTCAGGACTTTTTATTTATTTATTTATTTATTGCAGCGCTACCCGAAAAATCTAAGGGTTATATTCAAGTTTTCCTTGATGGAGGATTGAACCAGCAGAAGATGGGGGTAAGTAAATGAAATCAGATTGTGTTGAAAGAGTAATCATTTATCATGTACGATCTGTCTTATTAGAAGTATTGTATTTGCATCACTTGTCTAACACCAGTCTCCCTCGTTTTCTATTTAATAGATATGTGATGCAGTAGCCGTTGCTAAAATTTTGAATGCAACTTTGGTAGTCCCACATTTTGAAGTGAATCCTGTTTGGCAAGATACAAGGTATATCTAGAATGACCTATTTCTGCACAACCTTTATGTCTTTAGTTTTCATACTAGCCATTAATGTGAAGTTGTTATGTTTATGTAGTTCGTTTGCGGATATATTTGATGTGGATCACTTCATTGATGTTCTCCGTGATGAAGTATCTATAGTGAAAGAGCTTCCTAGTGAGCACTCTTGGAGCACAAGAGAGTACTATGCCACGGGTATCAGAGATACTAGAATTAAAACAGCACCTGTTCAAGCTACTGCAGAGTGGTATATAGAAAATGTATTGCCGATACTTCAAAGGTATGTGAGTACCATAACCTCATATTCTGCTACATTACTTTATCTTTTCCCCCAAAGCAGGACTCTTAACACATACACCCAGGATTTGACCTATTGAGTGTGACCCGAGTGGCCTGATACTAGGTGGTCCAATAGATTTTGGATAGGATGTAATATCATCTTAGAATTTGGGTTGTGTTGTGTCTAACTCTATACATACAAAATCGGTTTGTAAGGTGAGAACTATCCACCACTTATAAACACATTGTCAGACTATATATCTCATCAAATGTGAGCCTCTTAACAAATGTTGTTATTCTTAATATTTCAAGAATAAATATCAGGTGAACTTATGAAACCGCACTAGGCTTAATGCAGATTTCTCTTACCGGTCAAAACAGTGTTGTTTTTTGAGACAACATAAAGTTTAAGGCTACTTTTATTTATAGAAAATGAAAGAAAGTATTTTAAATTTAAAGCTTAAACAGACAAGTATTCTTCTATTTAAAGTATAAACAATTTCTAGATGAGTTATATGAAGAAAACTATTTCCAGCAGACCATGTCTTTGTTGCCACCTGTCACCTATCCATATTTCAAACAGTAGCAAGTAGCAACTCCGACCATTGTGCCAATGCTCACCCTTATTCTTATAAATATCACATTGTAATTTATTTTTTGATCAGATGCATATAAATTCTTAATATGCTTGCTGAGTGCCATAAGTGGTGGCTCTGTCTTCCTTTAGATATGCATTATTTACATAGATACCTGTTTTCAAATGTTGTAGATTTTCTCGTTGATACAGTTATGGTGTTGCTGCTATTGCACCGTTCTCTCACCGCTTGACATTCAACGGCTTACCTTTAGACATCCAGCGTCTCCGTTGTAAGGTCAACTTTGATGCATTGAAGTTTGTTCCACATGTCCAGGAATTAGGAAGTATCATTATTCAGCGCCTTCGCTACAATGCTACTGTCGACCAAGCAGAAGCAAATGACTATTTGCTAGAGGAAACCCATAAACTAGGAAAACGGCAAAGCGGGAAGTTTGTTGTGTTGCATCTGCGTTTTGATAAAGTATTTTCTTCATTTACATATTTTTGCTAGGATGAATAAGTTATAGGTCACTGGTCATTTTAATTTCATTTGGAAAGTCTTGTTATTGCATCGTGATCATAATATTATATGCTGAATGTAGTTTGTTATATAGTTACAACTTGCATGTTGATAGACTAACTGCTTTATTTGTTTGAAGTAGAATAATCACTTCATTTAGCACCAAAGTTTTTTCAACTTTCGTTCCTAGAACTGTGCTCGCATGTGTGCTTGAATGATAAGTTGATGATTGTGACTGTTAACACACTTTGATGCTTCTACATAAAAGACATGTAAAATCTGTTTTAAATACCTTTTAAGGGTTAGTACAGCTGGAAAGAACTACATAGTGTATTGCATCTCTGTGTGTACGTTTGCGCACGCGCGTGAAATTTTAACAAAAATTCTGATTCAGTTGTGAAGCCTTTTTTGTGTTAACTGCAGTTTAAGGAATTGCGCATTTCATCTTAAATTTTAAATTCTCTTTGCAATCCGATTATATAAATGACAAGTTATGTTTGTTCCACAAAAATAAGGCTCTTGTTAGTTTAATAGTGGTCACTGACATGTGCAGGATATGGCTGCCCATTCAGCCTGCGATTTTGGTGGGGGTAAAGCTGAGAAACTTGCTCTAGCTAAATACAGGAAGGTGCTTTGGCAGGGAAGAGTATTGAATTCTCAATTCACCGATGAAGAGTTGAGAAGTCAGGGGCGTTGCCCACTGACTCCAGAAGAGATTGGATTGCTCCTAGCTGCTTTGGGGTTCAACAACAGAACACGGCTCTATCTTGCTTCCCACAAGGTTTATTAGCAGCTCATGATATGATAGCTTGTGTTTATATAACAATAAAGATTCATTACAACATTCATAATAATATTTTCTGACAAATAACCTAATAAATTTTTGACATCTTTGTTCATTATCATTCTATGCTTTAATTTTGCACTTAGTCTTGATTGATCATATGCTTTTAGGTTTATGGTGGAAAAGCTAGGTTGGAAACTTTAAGCAAGTTATTTCCTTTTATGGAAGATAAGAAGAGTCTAGCCTCTGAAGAGAAACTTGCCAAGGTTAAAGGAAAGGCATCATTATTAGCTGCTGTTGATTATTATGTGAGCATGCACAGTGACATCTTCATTTCTGCTTCTCCAGGCAACATGCACAATGCTCTGGTAAGATGGTTGTTCGATATATTTGAAACTTAAGTTACATTGCATAACTGATTATTATAGGTTCAAAAGAGTCTTAACAGAATGATAATATGTTATGTATTGGTGCAAGAAATTAAGTAAATTCTCAAAATTTACCGTTTGAACCAAACATCTTTTGCATCTTCAGGTGGCGCATCGTGCTTATACGAATATGAAGACTATCAGACCAAGCATGGGACTTTTGGGCCAGCTATTTCAGAACAAGAGCATGAGCTGGTCGGAATTTCAGCTTGCAGTTCTTGATGGGCATAAGAACAGACAAGGGCAGATAAGATTAAGAAAGGAGAAACAATCAATATATACCTATCCAGCTCCTGATTGCATGTGTAGAGTTTGATTGAAACAACTTTTAGCAGATGCAAATTGATCTGATGCTTAAAACTACAATTATGGCTTCTATAGTTTTGCACCGTGATGATAGATAGCCAACGAGTGGGTCTCAATCGCGAAATAAACATGGTCTGAGAAGTTGGCATGGAATGTAACTAAAACATGGCTCAATTACTAAGCACAATATCAATCATATTTGTGTCAAATTGATAACTCATAGGTTTGCTGCAAATGATATGAGGGAATAAAATTGAATATTAGCAAACTTAAGACAGTTTCTTGATAGTCGTATATTGCAACATACTCTCATTCGTTGTGAATCTAGTGAACCTTCCTAGAATCACCGAAAAAATTTCATGCTCAAAAACAGCCACCACACTTCAACCCAAACACATCTTGCTGCTAAGTCTGTATACTGATTTTGAAAGTCTTTTGATAAATGTTTTTTCAAGGCTTTAAGAAATTTCAACAAGAGGAATGCTATGATATGGTTTTATTTACTAAAATGCACTTAGGCACTATAAGATTTGTGACATCGTCGCTTTCTAAATCTACCATACTCTCTATATTGACAATGTTGCTGCTATTGTATTATTTTTTAACATTCAATTCATTAAATGTATACCATCTATCTAAAAATGAAAACTCCCATAAACCTACTTGTAACTTGTGGTGTGCTCTCCATCTAGATATGTTAGAGGGGGATTTCTTAATAAATCGTATGTTTTTCTAGTGTACTGTGTAAAAATACTTAAATTTCTATAAATTTTGGAGATATATCTTTAAGACTCACTAAGATGTAATAAAATACAAACTTTTTCGGAGATACATTTCTGATATCAAATCAATAGTATATTTCCAAAATAATGTCTTACAGAATATAAAAAACAAAATTGAAATACACCAACTTCACAATCAAAATATCATTGATATTATAAAATAAGCAATACATAAGGGATTTTAACATAGATCAAACATTACACTTCAACATTCAGTTGGACGTTGTAACATTTTGATGTTGTAACATTTTGATAATACATCAACCTTCGTTGTCTTGTCAATGGATGGTGATGTCAATGTCACAAATTCGCATCTTCTACCTGAACCATTATCGGACCTTCCGATCACAACACTAAACTCTAGTTTGGTGGCCTCTATATGAATCCACTGCAGCATGCCATCACAAAATTCATACTCTTGTTCATTTTTAAAGTGGTTCCGAATATCTACCACCTTAACCAAGAGAGGTGAAACAACTTGAGATACAATAGATTTGAGAATAGCATCGGGATGTACCATACCTAATGTAAAAAAATATTTAACTAAGAAACATCCATATTAAGGAAGAAATTGCTGGAAAATAAGCACATGCAGATACCAGAATTATATATCCGATCCAGTTCATTGCATAATCAGAAGTACATTTATGATATTAGCGTGACCTTTTTTCCATGAAAAACCATATTAATGTGATGAATGAGGTTGAAATGAAGGAATTTTATCTTAAATTCCACTTTCTTTATCTCCTTTTGATATGATGAACCATAAAAATAAAGATTTGAAGTGAAAAACTTGATTGAGAATGAAAGGATTTTTGGAGAGGATTTATGGAAATTTTTGGAAATGAAGATGATCATGCTAGTTCATGCTAGTTGCTATTTTAAACAATTTGACTTTTAATAAAGGTGGTAGAATTTTCAATTTCCCACACTAATTAATCGAAGATAACTATCTGAATATAATCGGAGTTATATCTCCTGTATGAAATAAAGTGATTCTAACATTTTCAGACATTTTTTTATCAAAATTTATTCTTTGAAATGTTATGTCTGAAAAAATTATTTGAGATTGTGTCATCATGTATCACTTTATTAAACCATATAATTTTATTTAATATTTCATTTATTTTGTTTTGAACGTCTATTTATATACAAATATTTATATTATTTATTTTATTTTTTTGATTTAATTTAAAATAATTTAAAATGAAATATTTTTGTATGTAATCAAAGAATATATTAGAATTTCCCAACCTTTTATACAAAGATGCGATCTAAAAAAGGTCATGTGTAGATAATTATAAAAACAATGAAATGTTAGACATGATAGGCTAGTCTCAATCTCAATATTTACAAATTTTTTTAATTTTATTCTTAGAATAGTTAGATACTTAGATATTCTCAAATTTATTTAATGGAATAACTTTTATATGTGTTTAAAATATATTTATATTAATGTTATTAGAAAGTATGTTAGGATTAAAAATTAATATTTTATGAGAAAATGATTGATATACTAACAATATAATATAATTTTATTATCAACCAATCATTGTTATGTATCTAATTAAATCATTCTTTTATTTTAAAATTTATTTAATAATATAATAGAATGATTATTTTTTATTGAATGACATTGTAAAACTATTTTTAACGGTATATTATTTTTTAATTCATATTATATTTGCACTCTTTTTTTTAATCAAATATTATAAATGATAAAAAAAGACTTGAATATTATGGATTAAGGAAAAATAAGATATAGTTAATAAATCATCCAACTTTTAATTGACCGATCGATTCGGTGCGGTGTAAAATACTTACAACCTTGCAACATGTAAAAATAGATAAAAATGTAGAATAGAATGTACCAAAAATAAAAACAAATCATAAAGTATGATAGAATACACCAAAAATAAAATCAAAATAAATCACAAAGGTAAGAATAATAATGTTGAAAGTATATGTTGCATAATGTTGGTTTTAGAGAGAAATGATTACCTTAATAGGAAGATAAAAAATAAAAAAAAAGTAAAATGTATCAAAAAGACCACATATCTTTCACTAAATTTGTAAAAGTATATTATGTTCGCACAATCGTTTTTTACCAACTTCACATTCTAACTAATAAGTGTAATAATATGAAATAAATAAAATAAAATAAAATAAAAAATTATATATTATTGGTAATTAGTATTTGTAATGAAAAATAGGAAAGAGAGATAGTAAAAATAAAAGAAACCACGATACTATTGGAACTAAAAATAAATTAATGACTTTTTTAAAAGTGTATAATAATGTGTTTTATATTAATTTCGATTAGAAATGAACTTGAATTGAAGGAAAGAGAAATTTTTTAAAGAAATGTTTGAGCAGTTTTAACTTTTATACTGTTGTTTATGATAAAGCGAGAGAAGAGTCATGACAAATTGTGGAGGCTGATGCTTATAATAGAGAGAGAAGTTAGTTTTTTTCTAAACAATTAAAATAAATAATTAAATTAATAAATAAGTTATTAAAATAACTCCGATTTTGACAGTAAAAATTGTTTTAATAACTTAACAATTTTAATTAATAAGATGTTTTTTTAGCAAATTTTAAGCTCTCGGCTTTTCAACTGTTATAAATTAAATCAATAAATATTTTTATTTTATACATAAATGCAAAAATAAAATTTTAAATTTATTTAAAATTTTGAGTAAAATAAAATAAAAGCTTATATTTATTCATGCCAAACCTTTTTTTTCTTCTCATCTTAATCTTTAAAGTTTCTCAAAATTTTACTTTGTTCTACTTTTAAACTTAAAAGGTTATTTCATATCTCAAATATGTTATTTATAAATACTGAATATCTTCATAAAAGATAGAAACAATATTTTTTATTATACTAAAAATGATATTCATTTATTCAAATTGATAGAATAAATTGAATAATATAAATTCAAATTCATTATAGATTGAAAATAATGAATTTGTAAATAAATTCACAATATTCACGTTAATAGTATATAATGTCAAAATACCTACAAATGTAACAAACAGTTTACAAATATGACGAAATTGAATGCTCGAAATACTCATGTCTGAGTCTACAACGTTGGCAACATCAAAGTCATTGATTGAATATTATTCTGGACTGGGCCTACCCTTGGTCCAATTTCATGTGAGGCACAATCCAATTATGTCGTTCAAAGTATGTTGGACAGTTCTGCCCTCGACTGAGTCGGGCAGCAACTACTCTCCGCGAGGAAACGACCTCACCGCACGGGGATGAACCCAGTTACCCTTAGGAAGATCACCACCGGTCAGGAGGACCTTGAGGTCACACTCCAATCATCTCCTCAACCAATAATGGTCCTATCGCACGACCTCACGATCAGTGGGAGTATCCACGACGAGCAGAAACACCTCACAAGCATACTCCTCGTAGGAATGACTGTCAACACCTCCGAGTATCACAGAGTCTTCGTGGCCCCGGAAAGATCGCTTCCATATCCTCCTGATCTTGCGGAGGAAGTCATCCAGGTGGGAGATAACATGCGGGTCCCCACTACTCACGTAGGACCTGGCACTCTCCACGTTGGGCCTGCTTGACTAGCCCAATGAGGAGACCTTGGCCCAACGCTGGGGGCTATAAATACCCTCTCCTACGAGAGGGTCAGGTATTGAACACTTCTGACTCACTTGCTTGCTTGCTCATTCCGGAACTTACTTTGTCATCGGAGTGTCTTGCAGGTACCCATTCCCTTCTGGTCAAGTACGATCAGTGGCACTGTTTGTGGGAAACTTGCTTCCCCGTCTTCCATTCACATAAGACAAAAGCTAATCACACTCAACTCTGACTGTCATGGCTGATCAAACAGCAGAAAACAACCTGAATGTTTGTCTCACCGACACCAACAACAACGTCGCCGACACTAACACCGGCATAACAAAGCTGGTCCTACTGGTCACAATGTTGGCCCCGCTGTCGACGTGCCCAACCCTTCAGAATATAGAGACGGAGCAACCGCCTCATCACCGTCGTTGTCCAGACGGTTTGAAGACAATCGGCCTCCTCCTCAGAACTACCAACCGAACCAGTTCCAGGAAGTCCCTGTCCCCCCCCCCCCCCGGAGCAGATGCCACGACCAGGGCACTGTTCGCGGCGATAAACCAAACAAACTACCTGATCTTTTCCCAAGGGGAGAGATTAAGGGCACTCGAAGATTCTCGGAGAGCCCTCAGA